CCAGACAGCAGCCATAGTGCGTTCAACTCTTTCAAGAAGGCACAGATCAAACCCACTATCAAATTAATTTGCTACAAAACAGGATTTTCTTGCTTTGTAACAAATGAATTTGTTTTTATGTGGGGCGTCGTTTGGATACCCCACTTGAAAATGCGGGAGCTCCCGCTTTTTAATTGCTGTCATGATGCACCCTGGGGTAATAAATGGGGAAGATATGCCATGTGCAAAACAGATCTGTTTAATCGATTTATCAAACCTGTTCTCTGTATATGTCATAGTTTTCATCCTGATGGGGCTCTTGCACCACTAATATAATCTTTATTTAGGATTTCATATTGCACAGGGTAGTCATCTGGTGACTGCAGTAGAGAGAAAAAACTATGGTGGACCTGTAATTCTAAAATTTTTAAAGAACATTTTAAGGCTGCTTTTAAAAATGTTATCATGACCTACTAACATCTGGCAAATTCACCTGTTCCGAAAATGTATTTACTTGGAAACTGAGCAGTAATAAAATGATTCATATCAGTATCATTCATTCAATTTATTAACTATTCAAAGCTGACCAGTTTGAAGACAAAATGATGAATATTCTAGCTATTTTGGCTTCTGTTTCCCCTTTGTCATGAATTCATTTAGTGCTTAGCTGAAGTTTACTATCGGATTGCTCACATTTCAAGCAATTGGCAGATGATAGCCTCTGTTCTATACCTCTGGTGGGAGGTTTTCAGCAAGAGTTGCTCCCAGTCGTGTTTAGAGATGACTGGGATGTGGAACATACACATAACCTTTTGTCAATAAGTGTGTGCTCTACTACCAACTTGTCACTTCAAGAGAGAAAATATATATTTAAAAATATTACAGCATGAATTAAAAACTGTTGGAATTTATATAAAACAAATACCATTTAAGGTATTTGTAAACTATGTCTGCATTAATGTATTTCATAGTATTGTTACTCTCATACTCTGAATATCTCTTTGTCTTTTGTTTCCACAAATTTGGCCTTGGCTTCATACCCAATTTGATATGTTTTGTGAGAGTTGTCACTATAATCTTTATAGGATGATAATGAGGATTAGAACATTATATAGAATGACAATGAGTGTTTATACTTATAAAGAGTAAGGCTGTTATTTCTTAAATAAATTGTGCCTACAGGGAACAGTTCTGTTTTAAGAGAGACATGACTATACTTGTTCTTGTTAAAGTTTTCAGCTTTAGTTTGTGATACCAATGTTTATCTGATTTTGGTAACTGACATAGTTTGTGTTTCATTTGTCTGGATGTAGGGTCGGCGTGTACTGCTTTACAAGAATGCCAATATGATTTCAATAGTGTATATTCTTGTAGCTTACTATAGCAGTAGCACTTTTCTATTAAGTTGGCTTCTCTGAAATCTCAAGTAAATTGCTACCAGTTTGAATGCAATTTTAGTTTGGCTTTCTGTTTGCTAATAATCTTATCATTTGACTTTTATGACTCAGGCTTAATAACTTTTTGGCAAGATGGAAAAGAGACATAGTTTAGTGTATGTGTGGGTGGGGGGGGGGGAGGAGGTCCTCGGGTTCAGTCTCTGACATTTCCAAGTAGAGCTGGAAAAACTCCTGCCTTTTTCCATTGAGAGCTACTTCCACTTGATGTCAACAGTATTGAACTAGATCAGTGGTTCCCAAGCTTTTTTTTGACCTGGGACCACTTGGCCAGGGATCACTTTGAACAGGGACCACTCTGCAACATTAATATCCAAAGGGTTACAAATCAGTTTTTAGTCAACTTTAGATTTGGTTTGGGATGCTGATTCAAAAAATTGCATTGGATAGACCTCATCAGCTCTAGTTTCTGATACAGAACATAGGCCATTGTCAGTAACAGGGAAGGAGTGGCAGGCGGCACAAAAGGAGTGGAAATAAATAAAATAAAACAAAGAGGGAAGCTTGTGGACTAGGTTTGCATCCTTGCGGCCCACTGATAATCTGTGGTCCACAAGTTAATACATTAAGATATGCACGGCCAAGAAACTAAGAATTGGCCTGACCAAAGCATACTATGTCTAACTCGGTATAAGCCTGTTTTATATGGTCTGATTGTCTAGTGTTGCTATTTCTTCCTTTCTCAGCATACAGTTGTGTATTTTACTCAGATATCAATCTCATTGTGTTCCGGTGTGCCTATCCTCAGAAAAGCCATATTAATCTCAGTAGTCTTCTTTTTCTTTGCCCTAAGTTGTGTGTGTTTGTTGTACAAACCAACCAACGTGTAGTAAAAGTTTTGAAGTGTTGAAATCAGATGCCTAATTACGTTAAAATGTGCATGGCTTGCCAAAATATCTGCTAGACCTTGGAGAATCATTTGTGTGTAAATAAAATAGTCTGTTACTTTTGGATCGAAAATACCACATTTTGCTTTTAAGTTAAGAAGTGTTTTCCACATAACTGTAAAGACCTGGTTTTGCCAGCATGCACACATACTTAACAGATGACTTTAAATCAAACAACTAAAATAATATTGCCTATAATGCAGCAACACAGAGTATAAAGAGAAGATTCTTAATTTAGGTACCTCATTTGCTTTCTGGCTGTCAAATTTGTAAAACATTTATTCAGAAGTTATTTAAACCAATATTTCCACATTAAACATAGGAGGCATTTGGAATAACAGATTATATGAAGGTTTTGGAAAACATGTGATGAATTTGTATTTACCTCTGCTCAAATTTGTTCCTAATGGAATTCATGATGACATGTTTAATAGTGTATGTGATAGCATCATTTGCTGCAGTCCTGAAGAAATGTATTCTGCAGTATTTCCATAGAGGCCTGTGTGGGGTTTTTTTCTCTCACATGGACATAGGGAACTGAAGAATACCTGCACATTTTGTGACAAGCAAAGATGTCTCAATATTCCAGGATAACACATCAAAAAAAGGGGTCAACCAGTGCAAAGGTGTTCAATTTAGAAAGTGAAACAGCTTTTTCATTAAGAGCAAAAGCCAATAAACAAACAAATAAACAGAACTCTAAAAAAGTTTTGTAAAAAATATCCCAGTTGTAAAATTTTCTTTTAAAAACTCCCCCAAATGACCAGAAAGTACATAAAAACCTTTCCCATTTATTGTTTTATCACAGATGAAATAAAATAAGCAATGATTTGCCTCTCTACATGTGAACAGTTAGAATGAATCCACAATCCCTTTCTGTATAGGTTGACTGAACATGGGTGGAGATAGAGCTGTTGAAAATGGTTCTTGTGATTAGGACATACTAATAATATTTGAAAGAACAGGCCAAACAGGGACAAAGGAAGCAAAGTAATAACATCAAGAAATGTGATGGAAAGGACCTAGTTGTACATACCTATTGTACAGGCCCGTAGCCAGGATTTCGTTTCGGGGGGGGGGGGGGCTGAAGCCCCTCAAGCCCCCCACCCCGGCTACATGCCTGCTATTGTATATCTGTCACAAAAAAGGATGTGATTGGGGGAGAGAGGAAGGGATATGGCATATGACCGAGTCAATTTCTTTGCTGGGCTTCAGCCGAGTTTTCCAGCCCTTTTTTTGGCTGAAAAAACCTGCCTCAGCTTATACTTGAGTTAGTTACTATTATTTTACTCTGTTATTATTATTATTTCATTACATTTATTATTTTACTCTATGATTATTACATTATTTTTTTCTGTTATTGTTGGTAATACATTTATTATTTACTCTATTTTTTATTAGTATTACATTTATTATTTTACTGTCTTATTGTTGTTATTATTATATTTCCATTATTTTACTCTATTATTAATATTTTTATTACATTTATTATTTTACTCTCTTTATTATCATTGGAAGGCTACGTAAGCACATTTACATTGAAGAAGGTTAGAATAACAGTTTAATAACAGTTTAATCACAGTTGGACAGTCTTATCTTAAATTACAATTTTATGTAAATATTCAAAAACATTTAACCTACTGATGCCTCAATTGATGTAATTTTATTAATATCTATTTTCATTTTGAAATGTACCAGTAGCTGCTGCATTTCCTACAATTGGCAATAAGTTTTCCCAGTTTTTTTGTGGTAAAATTAGGTGTTTCCACTTATATTTAGGTCGGCTTATACTTGAATATATACAGTAATTGTATAATGTCTGCTCAGAAGAAGTCCCTTTAAAGCAGTGGTTCTCAGCCTGTGGGTCCCCAGATGTTTTGGCCTTCAAGTCCCAGAAATCCTAGTACCTGGTAAACTGGCTGGGATTTCTGGGAGTTGTAGGCCAAAACACCTGGGGACCTACAAGTTGAGAGCCACTTCTTTAAAGATTAAGTTCTTATTCACAGGGAATGTGTATTTATTGAAACTTAAATAATAAAAAAAAAGTATTTGTTCTATTGGATACACCAGTATCAATCACAATAGCCAGAGGAAACAATATCTCATTCATTCATGATATGAACATCTGAAATAATCAGTATATTTATTTATTTGTACCACCAAAATCTTTCAGTGGAGTTAAGACAGGAAATATATGTGGTTTGATCTCTTGCATTGTTTTCTGGATATTCTCACATCTATTTGTTACTGCTTCTACTTTTAAAAGTAATCTTTATAAAATAAGTTTGAGTAATGGTATATCACTCTCTTTTATTTAAAAACACATCAATTTTACTTATCAGTGGTAAACCATTCAGTTTTCAGATCTTAAGTTACCAGTAATGGAACTGAGCAGGTCTCTAAAAAGGAGTATTTACACTGTTCTTAGTCTGTCAGTCAGATAGATTTTTTTCCCTGCTCAGCCAAGGTAGATTTGTACATGTTTCTGAGCATTTTTCTTTTTTTGATAATTAGAATTCCATAAGAAGCTTATGATGTGGTGGAATAATATAGCATGGTAGACTGGCATTCAAATGAAAAAGTCAAGATTCCACTATGAAAATGTAAATTCGCACTTTGGATCAGCTTGGCCATTTAATAACTGATGTTTCTATTCTTGTATGTATTTTTTTTATTGTAGGAGTGCAAGAGCCACAACATGAGAAGATTATTACAGTGTCTTCCAATGGAAGTATTCACAGCCCAAAGTTCCCATATACTTATCCCCGCAACACAGTACTGGTGTGGCGATTAGTAGCAGTGGAGGAGAATATGTTGATACAGCTTACATTTGATGAACGGTTTGGGCTTGAGGACCCAGAAGATGATATATGCAAGTAAGTTCCTATTGCTGAGTTCATTTCTGCCTAATGAAAATGATGATGGACATAATGAAAGCATGCCACAGACTTTTCCCTTACTGTTTCCAAACAATTAATTATATCTCCCCATGTTGCCTGTTGTATAGTTTGCACAGAATTTTGCCTGTGTATGCTCTGACCAGTTCAGTTTTACTCTGTAGCTCCGACCTCTTGGAATATAGCATGGTATGAAAAAACAGACATTCTGGGTAGTGCCACAATCTTTGCCATCGTTCACTATAAATGAAAACCTTTATTTCCATTTGAATTAGAGTGCAGTGAGTATTCCTACTTGAATCACTCAAAACAAATACATTTAATTTGCATCTAAATGGAAGAATTTAAAGCATAGTAATCAACAAATGTCATGAAAATAATGGTACCATTCAGTGCTACAGTACAGTCTTTGTTTGAAGAAGAAATATAAGGGCAATAGTAGGCCAAACAAGGCAGGTATCGCTTTAGCACATATGCTGTTTTCTTTTTTAAAAATATTTTTATTAGGTATTTATTTTAGAGTGCTTTAAAAAGAAGTGGGGTAGAGAAGTGTAGGGAATGAAAGTAGGGGTAGTCTAAAGTAGGGAGAAAGAAGGAAAAGAGATAAAAGAGAGACGAAAAAGAAGAAAGAGAAAGAGGAAGAGAAAAAAAGGAAAAAAATTGGGAGGGAAAAATATTTAAGGGGAAGTGAGGCATGGGAAGGAAAGAGAAGTGAAAAAAAGGGGGGGGGATTGTTGCTTCCATGCTTCATCTCTACATCTGCTGTTTTCTATCTTTGATGTAATCTCATGTAACTATAAAATTTTGCTGCAAGCAATCTTAGTTGTTCACAGTAAGAAAACAATGAATGTACTGTTGAATTGCCTGTCTTTTTAGTTGTCTTAGTTATGATATTGTAGACAAACATATTTTTCCTGTTGTGAATAAATCACTCAGAAAAACTTTCAGTGTACTTAAAATATATTTCTTTATTTACTCTATTTATATCCCGCCATTCTCTACACCGAAGGGTATAAAAAAGTTATAAAAGCCTGTGTTCTACCGATATATGATTTTCTGATATTTAAAGGAGCATGTTCTGAATACTTCCTTACAATTTCTGACTTTGAAAATTTAATTGCATTGCTTAATTATTGTAACGACATTGGCCTTGTAAACCTGCTCAAATTATAACCTGTATGAAACATTGCATTAATAATACAGCTTGCGTGAGATAAATTTGGACCCGCTTTACTTTATGAAAAGTAACTTGGATTGAATTGGAATTCTACTGTGTAAACTCAAGTCTGGCAGTTCTGTGTTTTGGACTTCATCTCACAGAACCTTTCACCATTTGCCATGCAGACAGAGGCTTCTGGGAGATAAGTACAAAGTCACTTGAGGATCAAAAGTTGAGAACCTTAGCTTTAAAAGGATGTAGTCTGTAACTGAACAATGAGATATGAGTGTGTGGTGAAGATGTCACAGTCATTACATTTATTCAACTGACTAAACAGATTGGCTTAGGAAGGACATCAGCCCAGAAGAAGATTGTGTGATCTGCATTTGGATTCTGGTATTGGTTGAGGGAGACGTTGGACAATTATTTTGAGAACAGACATGTAATTGGGACTCAGTCTTATAAACTTCATCTCTTACTTTGACATATTCACACTTACAAAGTGATAGTATCTAAAGTGGTTCAGCCACCTATGAAATCTGTAGACGATTGCCAGCTCAGTCTTTAAAATGCTACAACATTCTGCTGATATGTCAAAAAATTGGAGAATAAGAACCCTTCCAGACAAGCTCTATATCCAAGGATCTGATCCCAGGTCTTCTGTTTATCCCAGATATCTGGCAGATATCTGGCAGTGCAGACTCATATAATCCAGCCCTAATAGCTATATCTCAATAATAATAATAATAATAATAATAATAATAATAATAATAATAATCCTGCTTTTCTCCCTAATGAGACCAAAGTGGCTCACAAAATAATACAATACAAATCAAAGCACATTTAAATCTTCCTTTGTCTCTATGTCTAGTCTATGAATCAGTATCATGGCTGTAGTCTTGTGAGTTTTCTATTTGGAGTGGATCCTATTTAACCTTTTGGGGCTTTTTTTGAGTAAATGTGTAGAAGGTTGTCATGCATAAAGGAGAGTATCCAACATTTGCTTTATATAAGCAAGCAGTCCATCAGACTGCTTCATATATCACTGAAATCTTTGAATAACATTAAAAAAAACCAGAGGAGGAAATATATAGTAGAATTGCCTTGATTCTTAGTGGCTTATTTTATCAAGAATGCTACTATTTGTAAAAGGACATGAAAAGTATAGCAATACTTTGGGCAATTCTGGCAGCAGCAATTAGGCTTGTCTGAGCTTTGGTTTCTCTTTCTCTGTATGAAAGTATGTATAATAATGAGTGATGCCTACGGGCAAATTTCTTGGTATCTTTTCCAGTTGTTCCCCAGTGGCTAGCATATATCAATAATCATTTATTTGTATCCCTTGGAGAATGTGTGCAGTCAAGGAGTTAAATATGTTGTAGGTACTTCAATTATTCTGATTTAATGAGATTACTCATAAGTCTGGTGTTATTTCAGATTTCTCTGTGCAGTTAAAACTGAGTTATATTAAAAATAATTAAGTTAACAGTTTGGAAAAATATCTTGAATAGTTTATCATATTATGTAGGATATCTCTGAACAGTCTCTGCAATCCACCTCATGGTTCAGTCCTGTAAGAATAAAAAGTGAGAACAGGGGGTAACAGAAATGTCCAGCATTTCACATACATTGCACATATATTTCACTTAAAACGTGCTTTATTAGGAATTCTGTTTGAAAATGTGAAGGGAAAAAGCAGGGGAGGAAAATGCAATTTTCATGTTATGGCATGGCTGACCCAAATAGCAATTTATACGTGCTCACTTGAATCTAGTTTATATTCTGATTCGCTGTGTTGATAGAGAAGAAATGTACTAAAAGTGGTGATGACTTGACATTCCAAGTCAGGATGCACATGAAACAGGTGCACAGTTCCGCTTTGTTCCCGTTGAGTCAGATTCAAGGAGTCAGAGCACACATGAGAGTAAAGGAAATTCTTTCAGACTTTGAGTCTAGGAAAATTCCCTCTTTGATGCTACATCAAAGGGTGTTTTGTGGTACTTAGCCAATTTTGTAAAGACATGTAATAAAACCAAAGCGGGAAGATTGGTCCAGTGAATGACATCAAGATCCACGTTAAGATCTTTGATGTTGTTTGTGCAGAATGGATGATTCTGTTTTATTAATATTTTGCCATAGACCACCAAGGACCCTTTCTAGAAACAAATAAAATATTAATCATATTGCAGTCATCATAAGCAATACAACATTATTTTCCAGACTTACACTTCCACCTTATAGTAAACCTTTACTTCATAGAATACAGTGGAACTGCAGTCTTCACTTTGTACTTTGCTTTTCTATAACTGGAGAGAAAGTAGAGGACAGCATTGGATGATGCTGTTGAACTACTGAAAATTTGCTTCAAGATATGTGTGTGTAGTGTGTGTGTGTGGTTGTTGTTGTTGCGTGTATATATAGAGAGAGAGACAGTAGTTAGGAAAAATGTACTCAGTGACAATGGGAGGGAAGGGGAATTTCCCATCCTGGTTAAAAGAAACAGTAGGTAGACCACTGCTGAAGAACACCTTTCTGGATCCCCTGGACATTAATCATTACAGACCAGTGTCTAATCTCCCTTTTTTGGGCAAGGCAATTGAGAAGGCAATTGCCCTACAACTCCATTCAGTCTTGGATGACACACACTTCCTTGACCCATTTCAAACTGGCTTCAGAAAAGGATACAGAGCTGAGACTGCTATGGTCACCTTAGTGGATGATCTTTGTCTCAACACCAAGAGGGATAGTGTGTCCCTGTTGGTGCTTTTAGACCTTTCAGTGGCCTTCAATACCATCAGCCATGGTATCTTTCTGGAACGCCTGGAGGGGCTGGGAATCGAAGGCATTGCGCTGCAGTGGTTCTGCTCGTACCTCTGAGGCAGGTTCCAGTTTGTGGTGCTTGGGGATAGCTGCTCCTCAAAAAAGTAACTGTTATATGGTATCCCACAAGGTACCATTCTATCCTCAATGCTCTTTAATATTTACATGAAGCTGCTGGGAGAGATCGTCCATAGGCATGGGGTGGGGTGTTATCAATACGCTGAAGACACCCAAATATATTTCTCCATTCCTCCAAAAACAGCTCAGAATGAGTGCCTAGAGGAGGTAATGGGCTGGATGAGGAAAAACAAATTGAAATTGAATCCAGACAAAACAGAAGTTTTTGCCATCAAGGGTCCTAATCTGGGGTGGAGGTGTGTCAACCAGTTTTGGATGGGGTTACACTCCTCCTGAAGTGCTGTGTTCACAGCTTGGGAGTCCTGCTGGATCTGTCTCTCCAAATATCAGGCCACGTTGATGTGACAGTCAGGAATGCTTACTACCAGCTTCAGCTGATATGCCAATTGCGCCCCTTTCTAGATTTGGAGGAACTTAAGATGGTGCATTCACTGGTAACTTCATTTTACATTGGGCTATCTTTGTACCAAGTTCAGAAACTCCAGATGGTTCAAAACACGGCAGTCAGATTTATTACAGGAACATCTAGTAGTCAGTATATTAAACCTATCCTAAAGTCACTCCATTGGCTGCCAACTAGTTTCCAGGCAAAGTACAAGGTGTTGGTTTTGGTTTTGACCTTTAAAGCCCTACGTGGTTTGGGTCCAGGTTACTTACAGGATCACCTTCTCCCGTACAATCCGCTCCAAACACTGAAGTCCTTTAGGGGGAGTCTGCTCCAGCCTGCGAGAACCTGACTGGCAACCACCACCCAGAGGACCTTTTCATTGGTCACCCCAAGATTGTGGAACAACCTGCTGGTAGAGTGCCAACAGCTACATTAACTGTCGGAATCTATCTCTTCTGGCTGGTCTACCCAGAT